TCAGAGATTAGCGGAGGATAAACTCGCATCTGTCTGTCTCAGGCAGCATGCAAGCTATCTTATTACACACATCTCACCAGGATTTAAAAGAAATCTGTGACAAGCTTGAGAATAACATGTTTTCACTCAGCATTGATGAGGCCACGGACAAAAGCATGGACAAAATTCTAAATGTACTTGTCGGATTTTATGACGAGGATGCAGGCAGTGTGAAAAGTGTGGTTAGTGAGGTCCCCCCTCCATTGTTAAAGCGCTATATAAATCCAATCTTCATTCATTCATTCAGTTCCTAGTTTACTTTTGAGTATTGTAATTGTCACCCACTGACCTTCCTTGGTATGGCTGTAGTATCGTAGTCTCAGTCTGCTATACAAGCAATAAGTACGCAGGTCAGTGACTAGTTAAAAGCAGGGATTACTGAACAGGCCTACCAGGCCCAGGGTCCCAAGAGCTCTGGTGCTCTACACAAAGATGCTCCTGTAATATGGGCTTGTATTGGCTTTGTTCATCTCATGTCTGAATAATGTACATTTGTATCCACAAAGGTCATCAGAATATTTAATTCAATGGACTATTTATCAAAATGTCCCAGGGGAGCACACGCCTGGATCCCGCTTGACAGTTGCGTTGATCGGGGCATGTATCTTAGCTTCGGGGGCCACTTACCTCCCAGGGAAAACTGTTCAGGCTCAGGATTTGTTTTACTATCACCCCTGATTCTATTCTATTCTGATTTATGGTGGAAAATTATTTGCCTCCAGGTGTTTAGGTTCTCCAGGTCACTCACCTGCAGCCAGGGGAAACCATTAGTATAATAATGTGTGGGTGTGGCCCCTGGCCCCTGCTCAGTCCCCCAGGCCAGACCCCTGGTCTCTACACATGGAAAATCCTTCTTCTTTATATTGATGTGAAAACAGTGACTGACAGGTTGCGTCTCTGAGGAGACACAGTATTATATATTTTCACATAAAAATTCATATATCTCAGATATAATCATTCATATAATAAATGTAGATGTTTTACATGTGAACATGTAAAAGTAACAACACATAGTGTCTGATGTTATTGTGTTTTCAGCTGTCAGGCGACACTTTCCTGTGATGTCATCAGCTCAGAAGAGGAAGAGGAAGAGGAAGAGGAGCTCAAGTCTCTGGGACCAGGACCTGGATGGTCTACAGTCTGTAGCGGACTTTGGTCTATGACCAAATCTATAAAGAGATTTTCTTTTTTCTGTCAATTATGAAAATAACATCATTTAGTGAAAATCCTTCTAATACACTGAAATATAATTTTCTTTAATATACTGTAAAGCACTATAATATACTGTAATATACTGTAAGATAACAGCTTTGTAATGTCACTGAAATATTCAGCTTCTCATACATACGTATGTATATATACATATATGTATATATATATGTATATATACACACATGTAAATATATACTGTAGTTATAAATGATGGAAATGTATTATCATTATTATTGTACTTTTAATTATATTGGTGGCAACAAATATAAATATTGTTTAAAAAAATAATAAAAAAACTTGATACCTGATACTTTACTGATGTTAATAAAGTTATTATTAGTTTATTCCAACAGCTCCGACCTTTATCATCATCATCACATTCAGTCTCTGCAGCAGCAGCTTGTGACTTTCACCTGCTGGTGGTTCTGGGTTCTGCAGCTGGTGTTGATCCTGTGACATTGACCGACACTCCTCTTCTTCACCATCGTCTTCACCCCTTAGTGTGATGATGATGATGATGTGAATGAATGAGTTGATGAAGGAGAGCTGCGAGGTCTTCCTCAGTTTCCTTCAGGAAGAGAAAGAAGGATGGACGACCAGGTGTGTTGTTCTTTAAATGTTACATTTAATGTTTACATCACTGTTCTCCAGGTGGAGCCTGTGGGCGGAGCCTGTGGGTGGAGTTCAGTCAGCTGATACATGTATGTTCTGTATATACTGCAACGTTTATTCAAATGACATCAAATATACAAACAGTTTCAGTAAATCAGTCGTCCAGTAGTTGATGTTAGTTTCTACAAGTTTCAAAATAGGATTCAAGTTCTTCATTCAACAAAGTAAAACAAAGATCTGTATCTACACGGGGGGGGGGGGGGGGGGGGGGCAGCGAGGACCACTGACAGCTGTGTTCATTCCTGAGAAGATTCCCACCATTCAGTCTCCTACAGAAGGTGATGATGATGATGATGAGGTTACTCTTCATCAGAAGATGAGACTGAGACACAGATCAAACGTCAGACCTTGAGTCTGATCCAGGACCCGGAGTCAGACCCAGAACCCGGAGTCAGACCCAGGACCCGGAGTCAGACCCAGGACCCGGAGTCAGACCCAGGACCCGGAGTCAGACCCAGGACCCGGAGTCTGACCCAGGACCCGGAGTCAGACCCAGGACCCGGAGTCAGACCCAGGACCCGGAGTCTGTCCCAGGACCCGGAGTCAGACCCAGGACCCGGAGTCTGACCCAGGACCCGGAGTCAGACCCAGGACCCGGAGTCTGTCCCAGGACCCGGAGTCTGTCCCAGGACCCGGAGTGAAACACATGATCGTCGTGATTCACTTTCCAGCAGAGAAAACAGACTCACAATCTGCTTCAGTCTGAAACAACAATAATAATATTAATTATTATTATTGTGGTGTTTGTTCATTGTGTGTTCTCTGACATTAACCCTCTCACTGCCAAACACAACTCTATGAATACATGAGGATGAGTACATGAACCAACAGGTCCTGGATCTGACTGAGACCACTTCAGACCTGGTTTCAGTGGATCAGGAATCATTAACAACCTTTATCTTTCCTGTGATGATTCGGTTCAATCTGAGATTCAGATTCAATGATCTGATCAATACTGATATTGATCTGATTAAAAGACAAATACACAAACTGATCAAACTTATCATTAGTCTGATAATAAAACCTTTGTATGAGCTGGATTCGCTGACACTGAACTTTGAACATAGCCGCTGTGGTGGAAACAGCGACCCCCCCCATCAGGTCCTATTCTATCAAAGAGTAAAATTGACTAACAGTCAGGAAACACTTGGCTTTAATACAAACGTCTGATGATTCAAATGTTGGGTGAATGATTTAAACTTGGTGCAGGAGAGGGGGAGGGGTGGGGGCAGTATATTTTCATCATTTCAGTATAAAAGCTTGAATGGACATTCAAGTGTTTGAATTCATCCCCACATGAAGCAGAAAAGTGTGGAGGTAAACGAAGCCAAGAGGTAGAGACCAACACGGTGAATCTCATTTACATATTCACACAGTGTCGCCGTGAAGAATCATTAACATCAGAAAACAAAGATTTATCTACAACACAGATCATGATCCTCGACTCGTTCTGCTGCAGGTAAAAATCAAGAAAATATATACATTTCTTTTAAAAATAAAATGAACTTCACAGCCTGAGAAATGTGCAGGCTAATACACTTTCTATACAGTGGTTTGTTTATTAGGAGGGAGTGTAGATCTCTATGTCACATATGTACATCATCACACTCTGAGGACGCATGCTAACGAGGACAGGATAGAAAACAACTCTAAAAATATATTAAATAATTTACTTCAAAGCTCGTTTGTCTGAGACAGTGTAGAAGAAGAAGAGGAGGAGCTACTGGAGCTGCTTAATTAACCCATGAAGAAGAGTCGGTCACATGTTCGGGTGACACAACAGAGACTGAACGAATGGATTATGCTGCTGAACATAACATGAAGAAGAAGAAGCAGAGGAAGACATCACGCTCTTCTCCCCTGCTTCTGTTAAAGTTTCAGTGTCGGCAATCATCCCCGTCAGTCTGAGAACATCTGGAGGACTGACAGCTGTACCTGCTTCAACAGGTGGTCCAGGTCTCTGACAGGATCCAGATCTGTCAGACCTCTTCATGAAACATTCCATCACTTCAGTTGAGTGTGAATCACCTTCACTGACCCTGCAGTGACCTCAGCAGTGACCTCAGCAGTGACCTCAGCAGTGACCTCAGCAGTGACCTCAGCAGTGACATCAAGAGACACACAGCACATTCCTTCATAAGAACAGATAGGACTGTTTACACCAGTGGGGGGGGGGGGTCTCTTCTTCACCGTCAGAACTACGTGATCAGAACTGGATCTGATTCAGATTCAGTTCAGACAGGAAACTGGATCTTCAGGTTCAGTCTGATCACAGAGTGGAGCCTCATGTATAAACACACAGTCCTGAAGTCATGTGACAAACAGCTGATGCACTCAGTTACTTCCTCTGACACATGAGACATGAAACTTCACTCGCTCACCACTGGAGCTAAAGCTGTGGTTAGCATGAACAGGTGAACAGGTGAAACCGCAGGAAAACATCTCACTGACGTTCAAGTGTTTTCTGATGAGTTTTTAATTAGTTATTTGATGCTATAAAACATGATTGACAGCTGTGACAGACTCACAACTGGATCAAGCAGGTGCATGGGCGGGAATTTGATACCATGGCTCCACCCCCTGATCAGCACCTGTATCTAGGATGTTTTGGTTTCATCACTTACTGTTCAGCTTCTTCTTCCGCCTCTTATGCTGGACTGAAGGCAGACTGGACTACAGCGACTCACTATCGCCTCTTGAGGTACAAACTGGTATTACAACACTGGGCTAGCTGGTTAGCATGCTAACTTCAGTAGATATCTCTAAGGTCAGATCTGTTATTTCTTCACATTCTGTTGATAATTTTATCTCATTCTTTGAACATTAAAAACCTAAACATTTACATCCAGCAGCTTTAAAGCCGCACTGACCTGTTCTGGCCTCTAGGGGGCAGAAGAGCTGAGGAAGAAGCCGACAGTGACTCCTGTGGTGGATCATGGAGCAGGTCGAAGATTCATGATCAAAACACTGACGCTTTAACCATGTGACCTGACGTGTCTCATGCTGATGTAGAAACTGTTTATGCATCATTTATATATGAGGCTCCTCGTCTTTGGTAAACGAGCTGTTACATCATTAAAACCACGGCCGAACGTTCAGGACGAGTCTGTAACTTTAATAACTTTAATAATGTTTTTATAAAAGTGTCTGTGATCAGCTTTCGTCGATTGTCTGGACTGAATCAACCCGGTAGAGAAATTAGTCTAATTTAATCTGATGGGAGATGAATCTGTTTGATTAGAGAAATTTAAAATAAACATCTGTTTTATTTGTATTAATATATGTATGAAAACATTATATCACTGTGAATCTATCTAAGTGAGCAGGTGGGTTTGTCTGTGGTTTGGTCGACAGAGCTTTGCCTCACTCTTACAGCACATACAGCAGTCAGCAGTAGAGTCTCCTCAGACCTGAGTCCTGCTCTCCAGTGAAATGCTACGCAGACGACAGAAGACGCTGAGACACGTCCTGGTTCCAGTTTAGCAGCTTGTCCGTCGATGGCGACGCAGCAGCAGCAGCAGCAGCAGCAGCAGCAGCAGCAGCAGCAGCAGCAGCAGCAGCAGCAGCTACTCCCACACCAGCGGAGACGGAGGCATCTCAGAGGGCTGAGCCACTGTGGAGCTGTTCAACAGTGAGATAACGTTAGCCTGGTCAGAGACTGTGAGTCATTCTCCACTTAAATACAGTTCCTTAAAGCAGCTCTCTGAGTGTCTGTGGAGGGCACGTGGAGATTAGCCTAGCTTAGCACAATGACTGAACTGGACTAGCCTAGCTCCAAAAGTAAAAATAATACATGAAGGGTCGGTCAGTCAGTTCGGCCATCGGGCCATTAGACAGGGGGAAAGAGGATAACATGTTTAAACACACATATATATATGTGTGTGTGTGTGTGTGTGTGTGTGTGTGTGTATACATATACATATATATGTATATCCTGCTGTTACCTGATAAAGCTTTTGAAAGCAGCTGACTGAGGGTTGATGCAGAGCGGCACTCGACTCCCCTTCTGCTGCTCCAGAATGAACTGATGGATGATCTCTGAGGAGACACACCAACTGGTCAGGAAGCCAGTCATTCACTTACTGACTGTTTAAGGAGCTACCAGAGACACAGGTTCACACTCTGTGTTAGAACCACGTTAAAGCTTCAGATCTTCAGGAGACTTCAGCTACAGACTGACTCATCTCATGAACATCAGAATCATCATTCATTTAATTCAATTGTAGAATTGTACATTAATTCAATTAAAAGGAGGAACCAACCATCAAACTCTTGACTGAGTTCAGGGTCAGAGCCTAATGTTTCCTCTGACCTGCAGTTAATGAGCCTAACCACTTTTAAAGGTTCCCTGTGGAGCCTCTTCCTGTTTCCATGACAACCCATCCTGTCAGCTGATCAGCTGTTACAGGTAACACAAGAACATCGGTCAACAATCACCTTTTCCAACGTTCAAACCCTCACACTGAGGGTCAGACCCACTGAGAGAGACCAGAACCAGAACCAGAGCGAGTCTACGGATGAAGACATGGTGCTGACCCAACACTTTATCCTGTACCTGTCATGTTCTGCTTCGTGGACTGTGACTGACTCAACTGAAACTATACTGGTGGCCATGTTGTTCTGACAGAGCGGTGAGCCAGCAGGTGGACGTACCTTTGACCTGTCTCACAGAGCTCAAGTTCTTCTCAAAGCCGTCGTCAAACTTCAGATTGGTGACCGGCTCAAAGTCACTGGTGTAGACGCGACCGGAGGAGGTGGTGTAGCAGCATTTACACATGCAGGTGTGGTAGCGCAGTCGACCCTCGTCCAGGTACGGGTGGGCCAGGGCGTCCTTCGCCGAAATCCTCTTTGACTAGAGACGACACAAAGTTTGAGCGGTGAACGTCCGTCACAGACAACAGGTGAGAGGTACAGAGGGAGGAGGGGCCGGTGTTTTCTGTGCTTCATTAAAAACTCAAACATCCACATAAAATATCACATGACTGACTTTAAACCAGGTGAAGCTCTGAAGGAGACATCCTGAACATCACAGGTGAAGATTCACATATTAAACTGACATGCACCTGCACTGTGTGTTCTCATCAGACACAGGTGGACTGTGACGAGGAGTCAGAAACGTTAACTTTACTCATACTCATAAAACAGAACCACCTACCCATCAGATCTCACCTGTTCCTTCAGGTACAGCATTCAGTGAGTCATTTTTCCTGTATTCAACCTTTTTCTTGGTGACAGTGAACAGGGACAGGAGAGGAAGAGGAAGAGGAAGAGGAAGAGGAAGAGGAAGAGGAAGAGGAAGAGGACCTGAGACAAAGGACTGTCTCAGCTTCAGGAAGAAGATTTATGTTCAAATCCAGATGTGAATCCTCTGTGTGCGAACAGCCGACTGCGACACCGTGTTGTGTCGATGTGGTCATGTGACTCACCGGGTCAAACACCAGCATCCTGCAGAGGAGGTGCACAGCTTCATGTGTTGCTTGGCTGGACAGTGTGTAGAGAACAGGAAGTGACGGCTGCGGGCAACACAAACAACAACAACACCGAAGGTCAGAGACACAACGATCATCGTCATCTGTTCAAACACGCATCACTCTGTTTGTTTGTTGTCATGGAAACACACAATGTGTTCTGATGAAATAGGCGGAGGCTGCTCCTGCAGGTGGGGGCGTGGCCTCAACAGGGGTGTGGTCTGATTTATTACAGGGAGCAGCAGAACAGGATCCACATCCTCTGAGACTGAGCCAGTTTTGATGTCCTGCCAATCAGACTAGAGCAGGAGGAAGAACCTGAGACAAACAGTACCCCCACCACTTTTGTGGTCTTCAGACTGGACTGTAAACCAGGCAGAAGCAGTCTGGACTGTGGGTTTATATGATGAGGTGAGACAGGTGTGTCTGATCCTGGACTGGACGAGTCCTCCAGTCTGTCATTAACACACATGAACACCAGGTAATCCTCCATGAGACCAGTTTAGTTTCCAGTCCATCAGGTTCCCTCCGACTCCCACCAGTGAACATTTCATTGATTTATGTATTTGTTCAATAATAAATGTTCAAATAAATGAAAATGAAACGTGACAGACTCTCTGAGCTGTTACCTGTTTGTGAGGTCCTCTGAGGATGTGTGCTCGCGCCCCTTCACACGCCGTCCTCATCGCCTCCATGGAGGGAGTCCCCAGCAGGTCAGTGATCAAATCCAGCTACACACACACACACACACACCACACACCACACACACACACCACACACACACACACACACACACACACACCACACACACACCACACACCACACACACACCACACACACTACACAACAGCACATTGCACACCCACAACCACACACACACACCACACACACAACAACACACAGTAGTTTACGGTCGGTGTTGCACACCAGGATCAGATCACGCACACACGACACACACACACACACACACACCTACACACACACAAAGCACAACACATCACACACACAACACACACCACACACACAATCACACACACACACACACCACACACACACACTGTAAGCACACACACACAAGACACCCACACACATACAACACACACCACACACATCACACACACACAACACACATCAACACACACCCAATCGATATCTATGTTCCAACACCACCACACACCACACACACACACACACACCACACACAACCACACACACACAACACACACCACAAACACACCACACACACACACACACACACCACACCACACACAACACACACACAAACCACACACACACACACACACACCACAACCACACACACAACACACACACACCACCACACACACACACACACACACACACAACCACACACACACACACACACACACACACACACACACACACACACACACACACACACACCACACACAACACACACACACACCACACACACACACCAACCAACACACACACACAACACACACACACAACACACACACACACACAACCACAACACACACACACACAACACACACACACCACACACACACACAACACACACACACCACACAACACACCACACACACACCACACACACACACACACACACACACACACACACACACACACAAAACACACATCACACACACACACACACACACACACACACACACACACACACACACACACACACACACACACACACACACACACACACACACACACACACACACACACCACACACACACAAGCATGCACCAAACACACACACACACACACACACAGCATGTGTTTTTACTTGTTTTATTCTTCTTTATTTGACTTATGGGGGCTTGTTGTTCCTTGTACTGACCCGAGTGCTGATCATCTCTGACCTGCCTTGAGTTTTGAAGTTGTGTGTGTGTGGGCTGGGTAATGAATCTGAATCTGAATGTGAATCTGAATCTGAATCTGAATGTGAATCTGAATCTGAATGTGAATCTCACACACAGTTTAATTATTCATCATTTCTTCTATAAAATACCTTCAGTCACTAATTTGTTAGAATCAGTTTGCATCAACTCAACTCAACACTTCCTGTACATATTTCAAATTAAAAGCCTACCGGGTGCAGGAGGGATGATGTCAGTGTTGAGTGGTGGAGAACAGCAGAAACACAGTGAGATGAATGAATGATTCATGTGGTCACCTGCTGGATGGGACTCTGGGCCTGGAACAGGATGCGTCTCCCCAGCAGCTCAGCAAAGATGCAGCCCACAGACCAGATATCGATGGAGTTGGAGTAGTGGCGGCTCCCCATGAGGATCTCCGGAGCTCGGTAGTACTGTGTCACCACTTCCTGAGTCATATGACGTGACTCATCCGACTCCTCCACCCGAGCCAGGCCAAAGTCACAGATCTGAGGACAGAGATTCAAACGTTACTTCACCTGCTGCCACCTCCTCTCTTTACTCTCCTCCCTGAGTCTGAGTCAAGACTCAGCCCGTCTGTCCTCAGTCTGTCCTCAGTCTGTCCTCAGTCTGTCCTCAGTCTGTTTATCTTTAAAACACCTGTTTACACTGAGTTCATAAACAACAAACAACCTGAACTAGAGCTGAACCCAGTCCGACTGACACAATCTGGACCTCAGAGCTGAAGTTGCACAGGTCATGTGTTGTTGTGATGCAGGGGTGATAGTAAAACAAATCCTGAGCCTGAACAGTTTTCCCTGGGAGGTAAGTGGCCCCCGAAGCTAAGATACATGCCCCGATCAACGCAGGATCCAGGCGTGTGCTCCCCTGGGACATTTTGATAAATAGTCCATTGAATTAAATATTCTGATGACCTTTGTGGATACAAATGTACATTATTCAGACATGAGATGAACAAAGCCAATACAAGCCCATATTACAGGAGCATCTTTGTGTAGAGCACCAGAGCTCTTGGGACCCTGGGCCTGGTAGGCCTGTTCAGTAATCCCTGCTTTTAACTAGTCACTGACCTGCGTACTTATTGCTTGTATAGCAGACTGAGACTACGATACTACAGCCATACCAAGGAAGGTCAGTGGGTGACAATTATAATACTCAAAAGTAAACTAGGAACTGAATGAATGAATGAAGATTGGATTTATATAGCGCTTTAACAATGGAGGGGGGGCCTCACTAACCACACTTTTCACACTGCCTGCATCCTCGTCATAAAATCCGACAAGTACATTTAGAATTTTGTCCATGCTTTAGTCCGTGGCCTCATCAATGCTGAGTGAAAACATGTTATTCTCAAGCTTGTCACAGATTTCTTTTAAATCCTGGTGAGATGTGTGTAATAAGATAGCTTGCATGCTGCCTGAGACAGACAGATGCGAGTTTATCCTCCGCTAATCTCTGACACAAAGTGACGAGTGGATGAGCAATTGTAAACGATAGATCAAACTCGGCAATGAAGGAGCACAAGCGAATTTTTAAATCAGCCACGCGATCGGTCATTGAGGGCCGGATATCTGCTGTGGCTGTTGAATTGCTGGTAAAGCTGCTTGATGACTAGCGTCGAACTCGTGCCGTGGCAGCACTTTTTCCCGCTAGTTCCATATAATATTTTCCTTGCACACAAAGTGCAGAAAGTGTTTTTGACTCCAGCTTCCAAAGGGCTTTCCGTCTCTACCCGCCTCCTCTATCCAAGACCAACGCCATTTATTCTTTATACCTTTATCGACAAGTTTGGTGTCTTCCCCTGGCTTCATGAAGTTGCACTCCGTGACTTCGGCTGTTTCGCGCTGCCAGTGGGAAACACATTCGTAGTGTATGGGAAACACACAACACATTCGCACGTGGGGTGACTGCTGAATCAATCTGATTGGCCAAAGCCCAAGACCACCCCCTCCCCTATTACCGATTGGCTTAAGTAGGCTACGCCTACAGGTGTGGGTTAGAGTGAAAGCGCCTCTCGGATCTTGGGAATTGTCAGATCACGCGAACGTGAACCTGATTTTTTTCACAAACAGCTCGGTGTGTAGCCGGAGCTTTCAGCCCTGGTGATGTTATGTTGTTGTGTTGTGATGCTGTTGTGATGTTTTTGTTGTGTTGTTGTCCTCAGGTTGGACTGGATCATTGTAGTACACTCAGAGGCCTTTGACACACCTTGAGCACACAGTTGCTGTTGACCAGGAGGTTTCCAGGTTTGATGTCTCGGTGCAGGATCCCGGCAGAATGAAGGTATTTAAGTCCTGATGATGACGAAGGTGGAGGAGGAAGAGACGACAGATTACATCAGATATCAGTGAAACAACCAGACTGAAGGTTAAACTGGTGTCTGCTCATTTATCTGTGACAAAGCACGACTTTTAATCAACCGGTACACAACATTTCTATTTGATATCATCCTTGATACTTTCCATACTGAAGTTATTCAGGCTCCTGATGCAGGTTTCTTTACTTCACAATAACAACAAACAACTTGACAGAAACGAGAACGTACCTCGCAGAATCTGATACAGAAAAACTTTGGCGTGGTCTGAGCTCAGAGGCTGCGGCGACACGATGATCTTATGGAGGTCACTCTGCATCAGTTCAGTCACCACGTAACTGACCAGTGGAAAGTTAAGGTCAAACTCCAAACAGTCAACAACAGCACATCTGACTGAAAACCAGTGGACAGTGACACAGGAAGACATTCACTGTATGAATCACTGTAAAGACACTGATAACACTGAACCAGCTACTCACATGATCATAATGGTTCATACTTTATAATAATATTGTCAAGGACTCTTCACTCAGAGGACACATTGATCCAAACAACAGGACCAACTGAAAACCAGCTACAGTCACCAGTTTTCATTTCTTTCTTTAAACAGGTCTGGAAAAGAACCTGGAGCTCCACGACAACAGGAAACAGGTCATTCCTTTCCTTCTTTGAACCCACAGATCAGGTCCTGCTGCTTCACTTAGACAAATGAACTGAAATGAAATCACATCATTCAGGTAAACAGAACTGATCGTATGAACAGAGGACCAGCATAGGTTGTTGTGTGTGGATTCAGGATCACAGAGATCTGGAGACTCATTCAGTAACAACAAAGACTGTAAACTCTAAACTCTGCTTCATCAGGCACAAACTAAGGCTGAATTTAATTAAGACAAGTTTTTAGTCATATCTCATGATAGTTTGTTGTTGGCTGTCAGTCTATAAACCGAAGCCTTCATCTGCAGACACATGAATTAACCTGGATCCCTGCACAATACAAAACTCTGCACAGCAGGACACCAGGCTGCTTCACTCTCTGTGAATAATGAAGCCAGCACAATAAACTCATTAGAAGACAATACTTCACAGGGCTCCCGTGACCACAGAGTCCTGAGTCAGCAGGAAGCCTCAGCTGTAAAGGGAAGAGCACCTGAAACCAGCTGCTGATAAATATGTTCTGATCATCGGCCTGTGACCAACTGTTCACAGGTTCACTACATTCACCACAAAGAGACAAACAACAAAGAGACAAACAACAAGGAGACAAACAACAAAGAGACAAACAACAAGGAGACAAACAACAAGGAGACAAACAACAAGGAGACAAACAACAAAGAGACAAACAACAAGGAGACAAACAACAAGGAGACAAACAACAAAGAGACAAACAACAAGGAGAGAAACAACAAGGAGACAAACAACAAGGAGACAAACAACAAGGAGACAAACAACAAAGAGACAAACAACAAGGAGACAAACAACAAGAAGACAAACAACAAGGAGACAAACAACAAAGAGACAAACAACAAGGAGACAAACAACAAGGAGACAAACAACAAGGAGACAAACAACAAAGAGACAAACAACAAGGAGACAAACAACAAGGAGACAAACAACAAGGAGACAAACAACAAAGAGACAAACAACAAGGAGACAAACAACAAGGAGACAAACAACAAGGAGACAAACAACAAAGACACAAACAACAAGGAGACAAACGACAAGGAGACAAACGACAAGGAGATACACCACAAAGAGACAAACAACAAGGAGATACACCACAAAGACACAAACAACAAGGAGACAAACAACAAGGAGACAAACGACAAGGAGATACACCAGGCTGTTTGTGTGTCTGGACTCAAAGATGTTCATGAGATTAAAGATGCTCCACTCTGTGACAACACTGGACAACAGGATGTCTGTGTCCCAACAACCCAACATCTCTTCTCCCTAACTGATCAGTTTATATCAGATCAATAACTTAAGCTGATTAACTTCATAGATTTAAATCAGGACCTTCGGTGGTCTGTGAAAAATGAGTCAAACTTAGCAGCTGCAGCTTTCAGATACAGATTTCATCCACATTTAGGTCCATGAGAGGACCAGACCAGACGAGGCAGGACCTCGATATTTACCACAGAAGAAGAAACCTTTACAAAGTGATGATTCTGCAGTTAGGAGGAGAATCTTTATGATTCCTGAGTGGATGTTTCCTCTCAGTGGACAACAGACATAATAACATCCTCAAGAAGGGTGTGTGTGTGTGTGTGTGTGTGTGTGTGTGTGTGTGTGTGTGTGTGTGTGTGAACATGAACAATGTTACAGGCAAATCTCCTCCATGTTTCTGACAAACTAAAAATAGCTTCCTGTTGGTCTTACAGCACCTGCACACACCTGTTTCAGTGACCCTGATCAGTGATCTGCTCTGAGGACAGACGACATGAAGTCAAACATGTTCTCTCTTCCTGTGGTGCCGGTAGTTTGAGAACAACACACTCAGGACTGAAGGTCTGAGAGGTTTCAAATGTAGAGCTTCTGTCTATAAACACAACCAATGAAATTCATTCACACTCTGTGGAGACCAATCAAACCTGTCTGATAGAGATAAAGAGAAGTCACAAGATGAGACGAGCTGAAGGTTGTCTCATTTCATTAGTGTTTGTTCGTGTTTATTTATTCATCTGTCAGACCACAGTCCTCTGTGTTCAACACACTGTTGTACAGTGAGTGAGTGAGTGAGTCTTTGGCACCCAGATGAAAGCTGCTGTGTTGTGTTTACTTTCTGTGAGAAGCTGTGACCATTAAAGATCCAGTTACTTCCTGTTGTTGATGAAGCAGCACAGAGAGAACACACACCGTCTGTCCACAGGTAGAAAACGACTGAACACACATCAGAGCAGGTGAAGGATACATCTCCTCGAAGTAGTCGATGTGAGGAGGCTGCAGGATGTCCAGAGCAGAGAGAACCTGAGGAGACAGGAAGCTGTGGTCAGAGGTTTCATCTGCACCTGGACACCTTATAAACTGTGTTTACACCTGGTATCAGTAAGTGTTTCACGCCCCCTCTGTGAGCCGATCTCAGTATGCAAATGAGGAAGGCGGAGCTAAACCGTGGTGTGTCTCATCATCCCGGAGATAGAAGATGAATTCAGGATCAATTTATTTATTTTGAACTGTCGTTGAGCTGATGACTGAACTGAGAATCTTCTCATGCTGTTACCATAGTTACTGTCACTCAGCCCGAGACCTGAAATTTTGTGGTGGTGAACTTGGTCCATCTCTCCTCACAGAGGAACCATTAAGAGGACTGCTTCATTGAACCAGAGTCAGAGACAGTGACTGAAACAGGTGCTGTGTGAGAATATTAAAGCAGACATCAGTCCTGGTACAGATCCCGGTGAGTCCAGGTAACAGATGTAGGGAGAAAAAGGTCTGACTTTATCGGGGTCATGTTTGTTTTCTGATTCTAATAAACACATTAAAGTCCTCAGACTGTTTTACCACAAAGATCCAGTGAAGGAGAAAAACTACTTAAATGAATATATGTCAGGTGTTGCATTTACTGATCTGACCTCTGACCTCTCTCTCTGTAGCTAATTACAAAGTAAAGGGACGGTGGTCAAACAGTTAGTCTGGATGTGAGGGGAAGTGGTTTGGGACACTCTAAAGGGACCACCATGACACATCAGAGGGTCATGTGACAGAGACAGACACGCACACCTATAGTCTACCTGTCAGTAGACTTGACTAACTAACTCACACTGTAAGAATATATCCACTGTCTGTGGGAAAACTTGCAGAGTCACATGACCGTTGAACTCCTTGAGTGGTCCTTCACACCTGGCTCAGGATCCAGACCCCCTCAGACCAGGTGCTGGGAGGTCCATGTGTGTGCTGCACTGATGTGTACTTACATTTTCATGTTTGAAGAAACACAGCATCTTCAGCTCCCTGAACACCCTCTTACAAGACACCAGGTTCTGGAAGACATTGGGCATCTTTTTGAGGGCAACTCGTTTCCCGTCTCTGGGGTCGGTCACCGACCTGGAGGAGACCACAGAGACCACATGACACTCTGAAGGTGTCACCTGTAGTTAGTGTGTCCAGCAGCTACAGTAATTACTGACTGAGTCAGACACTCAGACACCATGAAATCAGAGGACCCCACCCCCACCCCACCCCACCCCCACCCTTTCTGATCCATCTCTATAAAACCAGTTCCACAGATGTCAGTTTACAACAAGCTGTAAAAAACTACCTCAACTCAGTCAGGTTTAAATATGTTCTGTACAAGCTGGATGGTCAAAACTGGCTGTTAGTGTGACGAAGATGATGATGATGATGAAGATGATGATCCTTCCGCGTGTTGCTGCTGAGCACCTTTCTTAGTGATTAGTCACAGGAGGCAGAGGTGACGCCTCGTGAGGAGCGGAGCAGGTGTAACACTGCAGCGCTGTCAGTGCAACCTTCAGTGAACCTTTTCAAATAGGATCAGTGAGGAGACAGATGGCAGAGGACTAAGACCCGGGTTTCACCAACACCAGCAGAAAGCCTGTAGTCTCAACAGGAACCGGGACCACAGTGCTGTGGAACAGTCACGTGGATAGTTAGAGGGTTCAATTCTAAAATTCAGTTTTTACCTTAAAGCTCCATGTTTTCTTCTTCTCTTGTGTTTTACTTGAAGTGTTGATCCATAAGAAGATATATTTGTGGTTTTAAGAACCAAAAACCATCTCAGTGTAGTTTTACATCTCCTCTCAGACAGTCACATTCAGACTACAAAAATAACCTTATCCACTGGTGTCTGTGTTCGGTGTTTTTACACTTTTTATCTGGCTTTTGTCTTGAGTGTGAAAGGTACAACCATCATTCACTCCCAGGTCACATGAGTAATAGCAGACATATGTATTCATCAGCTCCGACTCTGATCAGCAGGGATGTAAACATGGAACCAGGTGAACACACTAACTTTGCACAAGAACACAAACACTAAACACACCTGTCATCTGCCCAGCACGAGGCTATTAAACCACAAACAGTCTTCACTGGCTCTTTTATACTTTGTTAACAGCTCAGTTAGCAGTTCACTCAGTTAGCAGTTCACTCAGTTAGCAGTTCACTCAGTTAGCAGTTCACTCAGTTAGCAGTTCACTCAGTTAGCAGTTCACTCAGTTAGCAGTTCACTCAGTTAGCAGTTCACTCAGTTAGCAGTTAATGCAGTTAGCAGTTAACGCAGTTAGCAGTTCACTCAGTTAGCAGTTTACTCAGTTAGCAGTTTACTCAGTTAGCAGTTCACTCAGTTAGCAGTAAATGCAGTTAGCAGTAAACGCAGTTAGCAGTTAACGCAGTTAGCAGTTAACGCAGTTAGCAGTTAACGCAGTTAGCAGTTCACTCAGTTAGCAGTTCACTCAGTTAGCAGTTTACTCAGTTAGCAGTTCACTCAGTTAGCAGTAAATGCAGTTAGCAGTAAACGCAGTTAGCAGTTAACGCAGTTAGCAGTTAACGCAGTTAGCAGTTTACTCAGTTAACAGTTCACTCAGTTAGCAGTTCACTCAGTTAGCAGTAAACGCAGTTAGCAGTTAACGCAGTTAGCAGTTAACGCAGTTAGCAGTTCACTCAGTTAGCAGTTCACTCAGTTAGCAGTTTACTCAGTTAGCAGTTTACTCAGTTAGCAGTTCACTCAGTTAGCAGTTTACTCAGTTAGCAGTTCACTCAGTTAGCAGTTAACTCAGTTAGCAGTTAACGCAGTTAGCAGTTAACGCAGTTAGCAGTTCACTCAGTTAGCAGTTTACTCAGTTAGCAGTTCACTCAGTTAACAGTTCACTCAGTTAGCAGTTCACTCAGTTAGCAGTTAACTCAGTTAGCAGTTCACTCAGTTAGCAGTTCACTCAGTTAGCAGTTAACTCAGTTAGCAGTAAACGCAGTTAGCAGTTCACTCAGTTAGCAGTTAACTCAGTTAGCAGTAAACGCAGTTAGCAGTTAGCAGAGGGAGACAGGTCTGTCGCTGCAGCTTCTCCTGAACTGACCAGCTGCTGCTGCTGCTCACACACTCATGAAGAGTCTGTGTTGCACTTGTGAACAGTCACGTCACTCTGTGTGTGTGTGTGTGTGTGTGTGTGTGTGTGTGTGTGTGTGTAGCACAGACTGCAGTGGTTATGTTTCATAGTGAACATTAATAAACCATGTGAGGTGTGAGCTGAACACAAGGTCAGAACATTATTCTGGACAGACAGAGGCTGAGACAGTTTGACCTTTGGTCTAACGTACGGGTCGAGCTCCAAACACAGAGAATCCTCCACATCCCATAATGTAACTTGGTAAGATCTGTCAATAGACCCTCCCTGCCTGGTCAATGCCACATCTTTAAATGCCATGTGCTCAGTTTCAGATAACACTGACTTTCTGCTATCAAACCAAACTGAGTGACTCCAGTGATGTCACCACAGAATGTTTCCCGCCATTTACCACACATCATGTTTACATCACAGCTGATCGTTCTCAGGAGCAGGACGAGGCCAGAGAGCCTCCTCTTCAGGAGTCAGTGTCCCAGTGTAAAGAGGAGGTGAAGCTGATTACCGGTCTTGATTTTATTATTACATTATTTCATTTTATTTATTATTGTTTTATTTATTTGTTTATTTATTTTTCTTCTGAAATGTGTTTTCTCCCTGGTAACAGTTTAATCTCTGTATGCAGGTTGACCCCTGGTGTTTCTGTGGGAGTAGAGATCTGTTGTAATAACTCATTAACACATCAGAATGACCTCTGACCTCTGACCTGTGTCTGTTTGAACAGAGCTGCATCACCACAGTAGAAAGTCACGGTTCATTCATCACAGAGCTTCACTGTTGTCAGTCTGTCTAAATTACATCAGTTGGTGTAGTTACTAACTGAAACACCATTTAACTGACAACAGCTGGAACACCTGTAAAGGCGGGCCGGTTATCGCCTGTGTGGACCCTGGTCCTGGCGAGTGCACTTACCAGACCACCCCGAACGCTCCGTAGCCGATGGGCCTGTCAGGCTCTATGTCCAGCTGCTGTTGTAGGTGGTGTGTGTGTTGCTGCTGATGCTGCTGGTGCTGCTGCTGCTGCTGCTGCTGCTGCTGCTGGTGGTGGTGGTGGTGGTGGGCTTTGACAGCAGCGGCAGCGGCGGCTTGAACCTGGGCGGGAGCCACGGCCGCCGCCGGCCCGGGGGCTTGTCCGGGGGCAGGGGAGGGGAAGTAGGGCTGCTGCTGGCCGGGGTTGAGCATCACCGCCGCAGCGGCAGCTGTGGACGTGTGTTGCTGGACCGTGTGCACGGCGGCAGCGGAGCCCGGGTGCTGCAAGTGATGCTGGCCAGCGTGGTGGTGGTGGTGCATGTGGGGAGGCGGGAGGTGCTGGAGCTGGTGGTGGTGGTGCGGGTGATGGGCAGCCACTGCCGAGGAGCCACCGTTATAAGCAGCCATCATTTTTGTAACATTTGTAGCCGCTGTGCCGCAAAGAGCCATCCACTGCCGCGAAGCGTCCTGTCAGAAGTGATGCTAAAGGCTACACGGCTGCAACACGGGACTCATCAAACTTGGAGAAACAGAAAAGTGATGTGAGGTCTGAATGATCAGCAGCAGCTGCTTCACTCTGCGGCCGGAGGAGCCGTGCAGAGCCGCTTCATCATAATGACCCTCTGGCTCTACATTAATTTAGTGGCCGGTTCTCCATCAGGCTGCGGGGGCCCGGGGCTAATGACGGAGAGCACGAACATGTAGCTCTGAAACCTGCGCCAACAACACAACTCAGAAAGACTCGGCCCCCCCTCAGTAGATAAAAGTGGTGGTCCTAGATGTCCCTCATGATGGAGGTGCCCCCTCCCTCCTGATAGTAGTGTGATCTAAAGCCTGTCACATGGGAGGCAGCGGAGCTTCATCTCTTAAAAGTGTCCAAGTTCGCCACACGCCCCGGTCCAGAGCCGTCCTCCTCCCGCAGCCGGGAAATCTCATCTATTCCTCCGAAGTGAATCCTCCTCCAGACCGCCCTCCGTCAGCGGGGCTAATCTCCGGCCGTAATTAACACTGCTGATCCGGTGCAGAGGAGCTGTATCCCAGCCCAGGCCACAGTACAGCAGGCAGGCAGGCAGGCCCAGGCCTCGGCTGTCCACGCCACTCACATATTATTACACCGATCCACCGAGCCGTGCTCCAGGACCCAGACCCCCATCACTGTGACAGACACGAAGCCTCAGAGCAGGACTCGGGACTCGGAACAGGACCAGAGAAATCCTCGCTCACGGCTGGAAAACAACTTACTTCCCCCATCGACAGCGCCGTGTTTGCCGCGTTGGACTGTCCCCGTCTCCTCAAGTCAACGACCCACGGAGGATAAAAAACAACGCGGGAACAAAGTTAAATCCTTTTAATGCGGGATCAGCTCCCGCTGCCAGGAGCTGACAGGAGCTACAGAGGAGACCGCGGAGATGGACCTGACAGCCCGGAGCTAGCTGAGAGGAGTCCGTGTGTCTGCATCAGAACAGCCGAGCCTCCGTCGATGAGCCCCGCTGTCAGGAGAACAACAGGAAGCCGCCCGGTGGAGCCGCTACACGTCGGGCCGACGTCGCTCCGTTGCCGCTGACATGATCAAACTGTCGGTCACACGGCGGCTGAGACTAGCAGCGGATCCAACATGGTGAACAAAACCAGAGGAAGTCGGTGATGAGATTATGCGCGACGGACAACCAATCATCTGCCGCACCGCAGTGACGTCACGGTAATATCCCTGATTGTCACTGCCGGCAGCCAGTGACGCGTGAGGGCGGGGCCACCTGCTCCTGAATAGCCAATGACAACCGGGGATACATCCGGTGAAAACAGACCGAAACCAACCGAACAGTTCAATAACTGAGGAAAACAGGTCCAGAGGACACAGAGACCGCAAGAAGACAGCATCATGTTACCGGGGACCTGCAGCCCACCACGGGGTGGGACAACATGAGGAGGACCCTCAGATCCTGAACGTGTCCTGTAAAACTCAAGTTTGTTTTCCTGCAGTTGTGACAGTTTTTATTAATCACGTATAGATTATTATTAGCAATGTTAATAGTAGCCTATTGATTAAGTATTGCTGTTGAATAAACAACCTGATCAGTTTATATCTGATGTATTGCCATTAACAAGTCAAACCGCGGTGAAAAGACAGAAAACTAACCAGCTGCGGATGAAACTCAGTTGTAATCTTCAGCCTCACCACTAGATGGTTCTCTCATTATCTCAGCTGGCTCTTCTGCTGGTTATGTGATTCACACTATTTTTATTATATAATTTTTAAGCATGTTTAGGTGTGTGCTTTTACTTTATTACTTTATCTGTAATAATCGATTTTATATTGTTTTTTATGGTTGTCTATGGGAAATGAGCAAAACATGATGAAACATGATGATGTCTCGAAAACAGCTGAAGAGCTGAACAGCTTCCTCATTCTTCAGTGCTTCACCTTCCCAGTGATGAAAGTGATAGCACCAACAAGTGGTGACATATCAGCTTACAAATATTGCACAATGTCTTGGCTCATATCTTGGTAACTGTGAGGTGTAGAAGAAACCCTGTCTTTAGATTCAGTGGATGATGCTGGAGAGACTGATATAGACCACGCCCATTTGTGTCCTAAAAATTTTCCCACCATTTTGAATTTTTTGTGAGACATACTTTTTACTCCCTCTCTGATATATTTTACACAAGCATCACCAAGCTTAGTACATGTCATGTTTAGACCACCCAGAACAGACCACATGTTTGATTTGAGATGTCATGTGACAAACCTTTGCGCGTGGTCATAGCCACTCAACCTGCTGTCACTCTTGAATGTCTCATCTAATTTCCGAACTTCACTCAGGTGTAGAGACTGGGACTGTGAATACTGTGAATACAGTGTCAGCCAGACGAGACAGTGTCAGCTTTATACATTTTGTTGATGTTGCTTATTATAAAGGAGGTTTTTTATTAATGAAAAGTGATCACTAATATCTGCAAAATTGTAAAGGCTACAGAAAGGGAACTTGTTAGATGACTGGCCCATGATGAAATTCTTCATATGGTCATCGATCTTTGTGATAGCGCTACCATGTGGACAGTTATAGTTTTTTTAAACTAATACTTTTATGCCTATATTTTTGCATATATGTTTATGTCCCTTGCTTTGACCTCGATAACATCCTTATTGACACATCAGTCAGTAGCAGATGCTCTAGTTCAGTTAGCTCTATTATTAGCTAAGCCGGCTCACTGTCTTCCTCCTTTGTTTTCCTCCAGTTATAATCAATGAACTTTCTAATAACTTTGTTACAGTGTTGCACACTTTTTAAGCTATTGATTATACACGGCTTTTCTTATCTTGATGTCAGGGAGCTGCTTTTCTTTGCTGATGCTGTGTTGGAGGTGCACTGGAAGTCTCTGCATCTCATCAAGCTCGTTTTGAGTTTCTTTGTGGGGGGCCTCTTGGGCCCCTGGGGGCCTGTGCCCAGCACCATGAGTACTCATGAACGCTTTATTAATGATACTTTATCAGAAAGTGATACCTGTTCAACTCTTCTTTTTACAGTTTTTCATTTTAATTTGTTGCTATAGTGCCCTGAGGAGAAAGTTGTTTTATTATTATTATTATTATTATCATTATTATCATTATTATTATTATTATTATTATTATTATTAGTAGTAGTAGTAGTAGTAGTAGTAGTAGTAGTAGTAGTAGTAGTATTATGGGCTGCACAGACGGCCTTCATTTATCATTTTATTTTGGAGGGTGCGGCCGGAAGTGTCAGTGACAGTAGTTTTCCAGCAGCTCCTCGACATACTGCCACGTCGAGCTCCGTGCGGAGCGGCGGGTCTAACCCTGGACCAGAGCGGACGTCTCCGGCAGAACAGCGGAGCGACGGCCGAAACTTGTCAGCACTCTGCGGGCAGCGGTGAGGTAACTGTCCGCTTCTTTCCGACCCAGTGAACCGGCAGCACGAGGTTCCTCTGCCGGAGCTCACCTTTCTCAAAGTTAGTGCGTGCTGACTCTCACAACGAGCCACCGGATACAGGAGCGTCCTGTTCTCCAACTTCCTTACAGCTTTCAGCCATGAGGCTCCGGACCGACCGGCCTCCACAGCGGCTCTCCGTATGCTCAGTCTCCGGCAGTCTGTTTGCAGAGTCGGACGGAGTTCACTGTATGAGACTCTATGTTTACCAGACCACAGGAGTTTGACATGTCAGCAGTGTGGAGTTCAGGTTACGGGTCAAATACCGTGTCAGTGTATTTACAGTAATCCTGCAGAGTGATCCAGACTGGTCCTCGTCCTCGTCCTGGTCCTGGTGTCTGTTCCCTCACACAGTAGATGCATTTCATTCTTTGTTAGTGTGTGTTTCTGTGGTGGTTGTTTTAATTTCTCTGGTATATCAGCTCAAACACTTCATACTGCACTGGAGGGCTGTCCATGTTTACTCTCTGTGTAGTGGTTCACAGAAACACCAAATAATTAACAACAATATAACAACAATACAAATTTAGTCCCATAAAACTTCAAGGCCTCAATACAACATCAGATATGATTAATGTGAGAGAATAGAGTGGACAGACTCCACGGTTATTAACTAAGAAATAAAGTGTTAATGATCTGTTACATGTCAGTTACTATTCAGAAGGCTCTGTCTGCTGAGCAACATGTTACCATCTAGTCTGACACATTAAGTTACACATGCATATGAATTGAGTCACATAATATCTCCATCCAACTCTCTGCAGTCAAACTAAACCAGACATTATATCAATGAAGAGTCATTGCTGCTGATTGGCCCCTGACACACTCTTATACATGCTGACCAATGAAAATGATTCATACAGCCAAGGAAGGTGTGTCCAGTCTGGGATTCCTGATCCAGACCTGTCTGACTGTTAGATACAGAGTCCAGCAGGATGGGGGCTCCATGTTGTCAAGGAGCTCAGAGCTCAAGGACTCTTCATATGTTTTTTCAGTCAAAAACATATGATGGTGTTTGTGTGTAGTTCTCACTTGGATGAAGATCTGACCATATTTATATTAATACATATATAAACAGCACCAGTCAAAAGTTTGGACAAACTTTCCCATTCACTTAAGGTGTGTCCAAACCTTTGACTGTATTTATATATTAAATGTATACATAACTCACTACACTGGCTTACAGCCAATATTAGGTTTTATTGTTAAAGGCCAGAGAGGTCATCTGAAAAGGTCTCTGTTCAAACCCAGATTCAGAGGAGTCTGCTCCATCTGTGTCTGAACCTGAAGCTCCACTCTGACCCTTCACTCCTGGTGTCATTTCTCTGACTGAATCACAGTGTGGGAGCATTAATTAAAAAGGTGACCTTCATCAGGGGTTTGGTGACTCTGACCTGAAACACTCAGAGGTCAGAGAGGAGCAGGTGGTGCAGCTCAGCTGTCTCCATCATGTCGAACAGCTGACTTATTGTGTTGTGTTTGTGTCTGTCAGGTTCCATCATGAGGCAGCTCAAGGGCAAACCCAAGAAAGAGACGTCCAAGGACAAGAAGGAGCGGAAGCAGGCCATGCAGGAAGCTCGACAGCAGGTGGCCACTGTCGTCCTGCCCACCCTGGCTGTGGTGGTGCTACTCATCGTGGTCTTCGTCTACGTGGCCACCAGACCCGGTGACATCGAGTAGACGTTACAGTTCTAATGCAGAGACATGAACTCCCAGAGTGACTGGGTTCAAACTGACAGTGGCTATACCCAAAGGATACCCCACCCTGTGACAGCCACCCATCTGTAGTGACTGGTAGGCCAGTGACGGGCCTACCATCTGTCTTAATGAGAGCCTCTTCCAAAGTATGTGTTTGCTTTAAGTCCAGCTGCAGACAGATGTCCAGCTGCAGACAGATGTCCAGCTGCAGACAGATGTCCAGCGGGGCAGTTGCTCCTTGGTGCCTTCAGACAAAAAAAGACGTCCTGCTCATCTACAGCAGCAGGTGGATTCGTGTTGATGTCTTACACAATGATGCAATGCCAGGTTTACCAAAGGATTCGTGCACAGCTTGCCAAGTGTGACCAGAGGTGTTAAAGTCTAAACCAGTTCTTCTGTTGAGACTGGGTCAATGCAACATGAGCCTGGTCCCAGACTCTGGACTTGACTCACCTGTAGTACTTGTATGAATGATGTGATAGTTTCTCCCTCAGCTCAATGCAGCACTAAAGTATTGAATGTCAAAGTGTTCTCTTCAGTGCAGTGTTCAAACACACCTGAAGTTCTTCATCTTTAATGTGAATGTTTCCATTAAGTTATTGATAATCATACCTCTGAGCATTCATGACACCTGGTCAGACCTAATGACGTGCCTTAACAAACTGTTATTTCACTTCAATAAATGATTTTTTAAATAATTTATTTTGTGCTTTAAAAGTCTTGGTTTCTGCACATTCTTCTGTTTCTTCCGCAGGAAGTGAACCTCAGGACACACAGTGTGCATGTTGGTCATTAAACAGTGATCAGGTGGTGTCTGACTTCACTGAGCTTCACTCTGGTTCTGATGAAAACTGGTGTCGGTGTTGCTTCAGCTCATTACAATCATGTGGGATCCAGTTGGTTCTGTCTAGAAAAACCAACCAAGCACACACAGGAACTTCAATAATACAACTGACAGCTCTCATCTGTGAGCTCTTTTATACACAAACTAACCCCACTAACATTTAGTGGCCAAGTGTCCATTCGCTTTTGAACCTTGAGAGTTTATGTTAAACACAGTTCTGTTTATCTCCATGTAAACCTGCAAATTAAACTCAGGGTTCTCCTGAATGTCACCAAACCCTTTATAAAGCAGCTACGTTCACACATACATGCAGCGATAAACACACCGGACCCTAAACCCTAAACCCTACCTAAGTCTAACAGACTAAACCCCAACAAACAAGTCTTATCGCTGAATCCAATAACACACTGCTGCTTCTCTCGTTTCTGTCTCTGAACTGATCCAGGGAACCATCATTAAAACCACCATATTATTGATCAACCACCATATTATTTATCAATCACTATATTATTCATCAATCACCATATTATTAGTCAATCATCATACTATTTATTAATCACCATATTGTTCTGTACACTTATAACAGTCATTTATTATTTTCTATTATTTTCCTTTTTAATCAATCATAAATTGGGTTGTTATTATTATCAATAGTATTGATGTCATTGTTGTCCTTATAATAATCTGGTATGATTATTATTATTATTATTATTATTAAAATTATTATTATTATTACAGCAGGTCAGTTTGTCTGCTGTACTTTATTAACTGATTGTGGTCTTTACCTTATTCAGCTGAAACATAGTGTGAAATGTATTAAAATAAGTTTTACAGTGATCTGTTTTTCCTCGTCTTCAGAGACCTTTAAACACATCTACTCTGTGATTGGTGGAGAGCGTCCTGTACAGGTGTGTACAGGTGTGGCTGCATCAGCTTTTAGAAGGATTCTGACTTATTCATGAAAACAATAAACATCATTCTCAGGACTGAAAAACACTATGATAAGCCTGACCCTATTTGACGCATGCGCTCTAAACGAGCAGACAATCTCCCGGAGTTGTCTACATTAGTAGCGGAAGTACAGAAAATCCTCCTTCAAAATAAAACGAAAATAAAGTCACAAGAACAGATGTGTTGAAGGTGTTTGAGCAGAACACCTGATCACTACATGGTGTGTGGTTTTCACTCTGAGTCCAGGTGTGTTAACGCCCACTCCATTGGTTAAACACGTGGACAGGTAGAGCAGAGTGCTATAAACTACACAAGCAGCTAGAAAATCAGGAGCACACCTGTTCAACAGAAACAGAGGGATTCATTAAACAGATGCAGGTTTAACCTCCACGTGTCTCGATGCAGTCATTTGGCGATTTGGTCAGTGATTAATTTGTAGATCGTACCAGGAAGTCGTGTGTGTCTCTGCAGCCAGCTTCACCCTGGTCTCGTACACCTCCCACCAGTTTCTGTGAAGAAGACTTCCGGTGGTGTGTCATGGCGGTGGCATGGTGAATCCTACAGAAAGGGAAAAATATTCGCCCCTGTGGTCCTCTCCCGTCGGTTCAGGGCAGATTTTCATGCAGAAATACGCGTGTCAGCTCCGACCTCGCACCTTGGATTAGCCAGCGCAGCGCTGCGGTGTCCTCCGCCCGGACATGGCGGCTCACAAACCAGTGGAGTGGGTCCAGGCCGTGATTACTAGATTTGATGAGCAGGTAAGATGGGCTGATTCAGGGGATGGGTGTAGCGAGCTGTGGTAGTCCTGAGGGCCTCGCAGTCCGGCTCTCGGCACGTCTGCACCGACCAGGTCCTCTTTAAATACGGATTTAAGGAGCGTTTTCCCTGCGGGAATAGTTTCTTCTCTGAAATGTGTCGGGGCTGTTTGTCCAGCTGTAAAACACCGAGGAGGAGTCTTTGTAGCTAGCGCCGTCTCCACCGTCAGTTAGCTCATTTATCCCACATCTGTCCCGGGCTGTGTGCGGAGCGGACCGGTCAGCTGCTGGAGACCACACCGCAACGCAACACGTCCGGGGTCCAGCCTGAACACACGTCCGTCTGTCCAGTCCGGTCCGCGGCTTGACGGCTGCTTCACGGTAGCTAGGGAGCTAACGTTAGCAGGCCTAGCTGTCTAATGTAAACAAATAAGATGTGACTGGGTTAGCACCGTGGAAGGACTGACCGGCCTACCGGGCGCAGGCTCAGGGCCCCGAGAGGTCAGGAGGTCTGGGCCCCTGGGTCCGAGCCTCCGTTTAAAGTCGCTGTAAGAATTTCTTGATAGAAAATCAGTGAAGAGACAAAAAGTGACCTCAAAGAGACACGAGACCACCACAAAGAGACACAAAACGACCACAAAATACATACATACATACACACACACACACACACACACACACACACACACACACACACACACACACACACACACACACACACACACACACACACACACACACACACACACATACATACATACATACATAAACACACACACACACACACACACACACACACACACACACACACACACACACACACACACACACACACACACACATACATACATACATACACACACACACACACACACACACACACATACACATATAAATAATAGTTTTGTGTCTCTTTCAGGCTGGGGGTCCTATGTAGGAGGGGTGGGGGCTTTTTTTTTTCTCTGCCTTTAGATACTGAGTTCACAAAGCTCCAGACTGAGGAAAGATTAGTTAATAACAGTTAATAACAGTTAATAACAGTTAATACCAGTTAATAACAGTTGATAACAGTTGATAACAGCTAATAGCAGTTATTAACAGTTAATAAACTGTCAGGTTGTGAAACAACAGTGAGGCTTTATTGTTACTTTCACATGTCCAGTGATTTTCATTCACTTCATTCCCTGGTTCCCACCTGTACCTGCCTATCAGTAGGTCTGATGTAGAATAAAGCTGTGATGTCACGCCTCTGCTCTGTCAGCCTGATCAGTTTACTTTAACTAACTCAATCGCCTTTGTTGTGAAAAGGGAAATCTGTCATTTAAAAGTCATTTGGCTTCATACAGTCAGAGGTCTTTGGATCTGGTCTTAGTTGTCACAGATCGTGGAGTGTGGTCAGGGTTTAGCGGCTCAGCTTGGATTACCACAGTCAGGAGAAAGTGGCTTTAGGTGTTTCCCCCAGCTCTGGCTTACTGTGATCCTGAGCTCCAACTAAAGGGTTCTGTCTCTTTGTTTTAATTTCTCAAGCTACTATCTGTTCCTGATGCTAAAGAACTTTATCTGTGTCAACGGCATCCAGTAAAATAACTGAGGTAATAACAGTAGTTAATATTTGAAATGGTCATAACCCACTAAACAGAGTATATTCAGCTTTACAGTTAGTCTAATAGGCCGTATATTAAAATGAGTAGTTTAGAGAGTGAGGACTTCTCTGTTCCTAAAAATACAGTCTACATCCCATATCCATTAATGACTGATTACTGTGATTACTGTAGTGTGATTACTGTAGTGTGATCATTGTAGTTTGATTACTATTGTGTGATCATTGTAGTGTGATCATTGTAGTGTGATCATTGTAGTGTGATCATTGTAGTGTGATCATTGTAGTCTGATCATTGTAGTGTGATTACTGTGGTGTGATTACTGTAGTGTGATCATTGTAGTTTGATTACTATTGTGTGATCACTGTAGTGTGATTCAAACGTCTGCTGCCGTCAGGTGTCATTAAATGCTGCCTCAGTTGGGTGAGGTCAGGTGAAGTGCGGGTTATAAAGAGAGACAAAGTCCATGTAGAGGTCGTGGTTGATGAACGGGTCCAGCTCAGGACTTTGACACAGGAAGCTCTGTGAAATCAAAAGTTGATATTGATTTTTTTTTTTAGATGTAGTGACTAATTATCTTCAGTTTTTAATTATGTTCAGTTTTCAGTGACAGTTTGGTTTAGTTGGTTGTATATCAAATCTGGGACAAAACATTTGATGAAGTCACTTTGTGATTATTGTTTGTTTGATTGATTGATGAATCAAAGTAGACAAAAGTACTTATATTGATGCAGTGCACTGCATATTTATGCATATATATGTATGTATTTATACAAATACAGTTCATTCAGAAAATTTTTAGACCTTTCACCGTTTGATAAAATCATTTAGATTAATTTATCAGACTCTGTCTGGTTGATGTGAACCGCTGTGGACAGATATTTTCAGGTCTCTCCAGATGTTGGACTAGGCCCAGGTCAGAAGTCCTTCACAGAGTTATCCCTCAGGCTCTTCTCTGTTGTCTTGGCTGTGTGAACCTTCGGTCCAGTCTGAGGTCCTGAGCTCTGGACCAGGTCTTCCCTCAGTTCTGACCAGTTTCCCCGTCCCCCCACAGCCTGATGCTGCCTTCACCAGGCTTCACTGTTGTTCAGTTGATATCTGGTTTTCTCCTGACCTGACTCTGAGACCTGACACCAGACAGTTCAGTCCTGGTCTCATCAGACCAGAATCTGGTTTCTCTCAGTCTCAGAGTCCTCTAGCTGTCCCTGAGGAGAGGCTCCGTCTGGACCCTCTGAGATGAAGTCCAGATCATTGGAGCTGCAGTGATAGTTGTTCTTCTGGAAGTTTCTCTGGAGCTCAGAGACCGTCAGGGTCTGGGTCTGAGGTCTCAGTTAGTCCAGGTCCAGGTCCAGTTCTAGATGAGTCCTGGTTCCAGACTTCTTCATGTCAGAATGATTGAGGCCACTGAGCAATCCTGTCTCTGAGCTCTGCAGGTGACAGGTGTGTGTCTGTATGACCATATATAGACAGGTGTGTGTCTATGTGACCTGATATAGACAGGTGTGTCTGTATGACCATATATAGACAGGTGTGTGTCTATGAACATC